CATTTTGGAATAGTCAGAAATACATTTTTGGAAGGTATCTTGTAGAAAAGATCAATAGGATGACTGATTGCTTTCAGCATTTCCTCACTCCCTGTCAGTGACCCCTGGATGGGATGCATTCACTCTGTGAGAACAGGCTCTGTTGAGGAGCTCCTGGACAGGTTTTTAGAGTCTGTGCCCTATAAATCACTTCATGAGTACAACAGCCCCTCTTGACCTACTGAAATGCATTGGTAAAACTCATCACTCCCCTCCAGTGAGAGGAGGACCATTCACCCTTTCCATTGTCCAGGTCAGGGGAATCTTAGGAGAACGAATCACCTCGCTGCTAAATGAAGAGAACTTTGACACCCCACCCCAAAACCTACACAGAAGATGAGGGAATCTGGCAACCTACATCTGTTTTAGTCCTGCTTTGGGAAGTTTCAGAGTTCTGCTGCAATTTTTTGCATGGGGAGGTCTTTAATTTCAAAGCACTGTGTGTTAAATAAGCAAAAATGTCCAGGACAAACTTAAAGTACACCTACAGAAATCAAGAAGTTTGATTATATTTCTGCTTAATTTTCCCCCTGGCATACAGCTCATTTTAGTTACTCTTTGTCTCTTCTCTAAGCTTTGGAAGTACATCTTCATTTCCCTTCTAAAGTGAAAACATATTCCCTTTACACTACATGAAAAATGCCCAAATTTCCTAATGAAAATTTTTTTTTTTTTTTTCCTGTGGATTGGCTGCATTAAAAAGGCAGCTTATATAAAACTAGAAGGTCCATAAAAGTCAGTAAGGGAATTATTGCAGTTTGAGATTTCACTGTGCTGGTTTTGAGGCCCGTGGCTGCCTTGTCACAAGGAATATCATCTCTGTGCATATCAGCCACCACATTACAGATTTCTCTTTCCTTTGTCAGGGGGTTCAGACCTTGACTCCTTTCACTGAATTCTGCACTATTGTGAATGCTGAAGGAGGGTTTCCATCACCACCATAGCGCCTGATTCACACTCCCAGTGTGGAAACACAATTTTTGGGGGGAGAATAACGTGAGTTCAGAAAAATAAATGAACCAAGAAGCATCACAAATCCATTTTTGAGGGGCTGGGTCTGCCTGACAGGCTGCACCACCGCTGCCTGCTGCTCTGCTTGGGTTTTGGGCACCAAAGAGCCAGCACCTTGTGCATTTCCAGGGAGAGGATTCCCCCTCAGACAAAAATACACAACCCTTGGCAGAGACAAAGAAGAAGCACTGAGCTGTGTCTGGTCAACTCCTCCATAAGGATGGACAGGGGAAGGAAGGAATTTGGCAGAGCCACCAGCCACACCAGTCACTCCATTTCAATCTGACTGCTGCTGCCAACAGCAGGAATAAATCCACAAATGACATTCCTAGATAAAATGAGTGAAGTGCCTCAATTTGCTCCCACTGAAATAGATTTCTTCCCCACCCATGCCTAAGCCACCAGGAAACAGTGATCAATCTAGTGAAGGGATGAGGACAAAACATAATGGCATGGTTATTTTTTGGTTTTTTGGGGTTGTTTTGTTTTGTTGGGGTTTTTGGGGGCTTTTTTTGGTGGGTTTTTTTGTGTCTTTTTCTCTTTTTTTTCTTTTTTTTTTTTTAGTTTGGTTTGGTGGTTTTGCTGGTTTCATTTATTTTTTGTTGTTGTTGTTTTGAAGTTTTTTTGTGTGGCTTTTTTGCTGGTTTTTTTTTTTGGTTGATTTTGTTTGTTTGTTGTTTGGTTTTTTAGGGTTTTTTGTTTGGTTGGTTTGGTTTTTTGGGGTTTTTTTGTTTGGTTTGGTTTGGGTTTTTTGTTTGTTTTGTTTTGTTTTGTTGGGATTTTTTGTTTTGTTGGTTTGGTTTTTGTTTTGTTTTTTTGTTTTGTTTTGTTTTTTGGGGGGGGTTTTGGGGTTTTTCATTGTTTGTTTGTTTTTGTTTTTTGTTTGTTGTTGTTTTTTTGTATGGGGTTTTTTTTGGCCCTTTGAAAAACAGTATAATACATTTTGGAATAGTTTTTTTTGGGGGGGTTTTTTGGTTTTTTTGGAGTTTTTTTGGGTTCTTTTTGTTGTTGTTTGTTTTTGTTTTTTGTTTGTTGGGGGTTTTTTGTATGGGGTTTTTTTTTGGCCCTTTGAAAAAGAGTACAATACATTTTGGAATAGCTTTGTTTTGTTTTTTTGTTTTGTTTTGTTTTTTGGGGGGGGTTTTGGGGTTTTTCATTGTTTGTTTGTTTTTGTTTTTTGTTTGTTGTTGTTTTTTTGTATGGGGTTTTTTTTGGCCCTTTGAAAAACAGTATAATACATTTTGGAATAGTCAGAAATACATTTTTGGAAGGTATCTTGTAGAAAAGATCAATAGGATGACTGATTGCTTTCAGCATTTCCTCACTCCCTGTCAGTGACCCCTGGATGGGATGCATTCACTCTGTGAGAACAGGCTCTGTTGAGGAGCTCCTGGACAGGTTTTTAGAGTCTGTGCCCTATAAATCACTTCATGAGTACAACAGCCCCTCTTGACCTACTGAAATGCATTGGTAAAACTCATCACTCCCCTCCAGTGAGAGGAGGACCATTCACCCTTTCCATTGTCCAGGTCAGGGGAATCTTAGGAGAACGAATCACCTCGCTGCTAAATGAAGAGAACTTTGACACCCCACCCCAAAACCTACACAGAAGATGAGGGAATCTGGCAACCTACATCTGTTTTAGTCCTGCTTTGGGAAGTTTCAGAGTTCTGCTGCAATTTTTTGCATGGGGAGGTCTTTAATTTCAAAGCACTGTGTGTTAAATAAGCAAAAATGTCCAGGACAAACTTAAAGTACACCTACAGAAATCAAGAAGTTTGATTATATTTCTGCTTAATTTTCCCCCTGGCATACAGCTCATTTTAGTTACTCTTTGTCTCTTCTCTAAGCTTTGGAAGTACATCTTCATTTCCCTTCTAAAGTGAAAACATATTCCCTTTACAAGATCACACAGGATTGGGAGGTTTTATGACCTTTCCTGCGACAGCACCCAACTGTTGATTTCTGCACTAAAATACTGTGGGTGTAAGCAGCTGAGAAGTCAGGAAATAATGAGGGGCAAAGATAAAAACCACTTAGCTACGTTTCAAAAATATCCTTGCTCAGGGTTTTCATTCATCCTCAGCCAACATAAACAACTGGCTGGTTTACCATTATTACTCTAAACATCATTGCTGATGTTTCTACTACTTACTACTGCTTTTGCCAAAAAGAAGCCTCATTTCAATCAAGCAACCACAGTGCCCCATCCTGGGCAGGGTCAGCTTTGCTTTCCACTCCTGCCATCATCAGCAGCTCTGGCTGTTCCAATTGGCACATCCAATTTGTGCAGCCCAAGCCTGACCAGGAGCCATCACAAAAGGAACAATTTCCAGAAGCTGGGCTCTAAAATCAAACTGTGATGCCTGAGCATCACTTGTCTTTCTTCTCAGAGGGCAGATTCTGAGTTCTTGCAGCAAAGATTGAGAGGAGAACCAGACACCAACCCAGAGGCAGCAACCCAAGCTGGCCAGGACCTGCTCTGGGTGCAGGACTTGTGCTAAATGCCATGTCATGTCCCTTTTGTGGGGGGATCCTGAGGAAGAATGAAGACATCCTTAGGCTCAGACACAAAATGTGCAGGCCTGTCTCAACTAAAGCAATTTTGGTAGTGTTGAGCTGCTCATCCCCTGAGCCACCTCCCAGTCAGTTCTGTCCTGTGTCCTCTTCTCTGTGAGCAGGAGAAAGACAAAATGCTGCTTCCCCCTACCCATTTTTAATACTGTACCTCCTTCCACCAGTTTGGACACAATTTAAAGGAAAATTAAGATGCACAGGAAAGACATTTTGTCCTGAGCCCAAGCTCTGCATGTAGGTGCCTGTGTCACAAACAGGTACAAAATTATTTTTCTCATTCATTTTGCCAAAATGTTGCTTGTATTTCACTTTTAATTCCAAAAGAAACCCTAACTTTGCTTCACCGCTTCCCAAAATAAAATAAGGGAGGAAAAAGCTCATTAACAATGTGGAGAGATTGAACTTGTTTTGGTTTCTTTTCTTTTCCCGGGGACCAAAAATACCCTAAAACCTGGAAAACTTCATGAAGCTGCTATCTATAGTTGGCAAAAACTGAATTTTCATTGATAGAGTAGAAACAATTGTCCAAATCACTTTTGAGTCTGGCACATAGGCAAGAATAGGCCAAAAGGTGACTCACAAATGTCTAAACACACCAGACACCCAATAAGAACCATTTTTCTTGTGGGCTAGACAGGCAAACTAGGTTTCCAAGGCGCCTAAGATTGTTACCTCTCAAAAGGAAGAAGAAATACATAAATTTCTGATCTATATTTAATATTCTGAGCCCAGAGACCTGCCCCACATTCCACAGAAGCTGCAACTTACCTCTCTTCCACCCTCAGCCAAGCTGGCTGGCATCCCGGGAATTTGCTGCCAAAAAAACCTCCACTCAGGTCTGCAGTGAAGCAAACCCACTGATAGTAATAATAATAATAATAATAATAATAATAATAATAATAATAAAAGCCTAACAAACCCCAATAACTTGGTTCTTCCAATCACATGTCCTAAATAGGTGACTTCCGATTCTACAAATTGCAACTTATCTCGCGATACCTTCAGCCAAGCTGGCTGGCATCCCGGGAATTTGCTGCCAAAAAAACCTCCACTCAGGTCTGCAGTGAAGCAAACCCACTGATAGTAATAATAATAATAATAATAATAATAATAATAATAATAATAATAATAATAATAATAATAATAATAATAATAATAATAATAATAATAATAATAATAAAAAAAGCCTAACAAACCCCAATAATTTGGTTCTGATCTCCTCCAAAACAAGGCCTCTGTCCCATCCCACCCTTCCCCTGAGCTCCCACCCTCACTCCGCCCAACCCCATTGGAACCACAGAGCCTCTGTGACCCCTGCACGGAAGCAGGCAGGATTTTCCCGGCCAAAACTGAGATTTCAGGGCCGCACTGACCTCCACCAGTGGCCTGGGCTTGCGCTCCACTGCAAACCTGAAGTGGCAGAGCTCACAGTAGCTGGTGTTGGAGGACGACAGCCAGCGCTCCAGGCAGCTGCGGTGGATGGTGCCCAGGGTCCCCGTGCACTCACAGGGGGACAGCAGCTCCTCGTGGCTGCTGCCCTCGTGGCAGATCCTGCAGATGGGCCGGTCGTTGAAGGGGCTGCTGCAGGAGAGGGAGAGAAAACTGCTGGTCAGGGCTGGAGAGGTGTGGAGATAGATTTTTTTTTTCCTCTGTCGCGAGCTAGAAATGTTGGCAGTGCTTTGCTCTCTGATTAGTGATCCAAGCTGGTGGGCTAAGGTCTTTTGGTATTCTTGCTTAAAATACCTCTTTTATTAGGGGGGGAAAAGTGTAGAGTGAGAAACATCAGAGTGGTAGATGAGAGGCAGAAGACCAGGCCCTTCTGTATTTTGTATTTCCCAGCTCTTCACAAAGCAGCGGTGCAGCCGCCTCAGGAAATCCCAAAATGCATCAGGGAGGTTGTAAATCTGCCTCAGCTGAGCATTTTTTGGTAATCTTCTGATCTAAATGTTATTTTCACTGGCCAATAATAAAGGACTGCTGAAAGAGCAGCACCTTGCCCTGTAGCACCCCGAAGGCAGGGCCACAACTTCAGAAAAGTACATGAGGGCAGAAACCTCCTCTCCCTGGAAAGGGTTTCCCTCTCTTTGGGACAGCCCACAGGCAGGTCAAGGAGGGATACAAACGCATCTCTGCTGTGGGGCTGCAGGTGGGTATTTCTTCTGCACTGCTTTAAGAGCCATGAAGCCTTTCCAGCTCACCACCAGCAAAGACAAATTTAATTTTGACCCAGGCATCAAGTCTGGATGAGGCCAAGCACATCAGAATACTCCTTCTTGCTTCTAATGAGAACAAATCCAGCCTGAAGCACGCTTCAAAGGCATAGATTAACAATATATTTCACCTCCAATCTGGCTCTCTAACCCAGCAGCAGAAAGGAAGGTCAGTCACTCAGATGATGACAGAAGCTGCAACACTGGTGCTAGAAACTATGGTTGATGCCCCGTGTGAGGAGATGGGAATCTTTACTCCATGTTTTAGAAGGCTGATTTATTATATTTTTATATATATTATATTTAAATGCTATATTAAAAGTATACTAAAAGAATAGAGAGAAAAGGATCCATCAGAAGGCTGGAAAGAACAGGAATGGAATGATAACAAAAGCTCCTGACTCCCAGAGAGTCCGAGCCAGCTGACTGTGATTGGCCATTAATTAGAAACAACCAACATGAACCAATCACAGATGCACCTGGTGGTAAACAATGTCCACAGCCATCAAATAGTTATTTGTTTACATTTCTTTTCTGAGGCTTCTCAGCTAGAATTGGACAAAAATCCTAGCAAAAGGATTTTTCATAAAATATCATGGCCACAAGAAACACCTTGTCTGGCTGCTGAGCACGCCAGGGGCTGGTGGAGTGTTTATTTTCACTGGCCAATAATAAAGGACTGCTGAAAGAGCAGCACCTTGCCCTGTAGCACCCCGAAGGCAGGGCCACAACTTCAGAAAAGTACATGAGGGCAGAAACCTCCTCTCCCTGGAAAGGGTTTCCCTCTCTTTGGGACAGCCCACAGGCAGGTCAAGGAGGGATACAAACGCATCTCTGCTGTGGGGCTGCAGGTGGGTATTTCTTCTGCACTGCTTTAAGAGCCATGAAGCCTTTCCAGCTCACCACCAGCAAAGACAAATTTAATTTTGACCCAGGCATCAAGTCTGGATGAGGCCAAGCACATCAGAATACTCCTTCTTGCTTCTAATGAGAACAAATCCAGCCTGAAGCACGCTTCAAAGGCATAGATTAACAATATATTTCACCTCCAATCTGGCTCTCTAACCCAGCAGCAGAAAGGAAGGTCAGTCACTCAGATGATGACAGAAGCTGCAACACTGGTGCTAGAAACTATGGTTGATGCCCCATGTGAGGAGATGGGAATCTTTACTCCATGTTTTAGAAGGCCGATTTATTATATTTTTATATATATTATATTTAAATGCTATATTAAAAGTATACTAAAAGAATAGAGAGAAAAGGATCCATCAGAAGGCTGGAAAGATCAGGAATGCAATGATAACAAAAGCTCCTGACTCCCAGAGAGTCCCAGCCAGCTGACTGTGATTGGCCATTAATTAGAAACAACCACCATGCACCAATCCCAGCTGCACCCGTTGGTAAACAATGTCCACAGCCATCAGATAGTTATTTGTTTACATTTCTTTTCTGTGGCTTCTCAGCTAGAATTGGACAAAAATCCTAGCAAAAGGATTTTTCATAAAATATCATGGCCACAAGAAACACCTTGTCTGGCTGCTGAGCACGCCAGGGGCTGGTGGAGTGTTCAGCGAGCAGGATGCCTTCTGCAGCACGACCCCTGTGATGCTGGGATGGGGGATTCACCACCCCAGAGGGGGAAGGAGCCCACCCCTCCCTCTGTCCCCCCACGCACCTCTGCACGGCCAGGGTCCGCACCACGGACGAGAGCAGCTGCCCATCCTTGGAGGACACCTGCATGACATACTGGGGACAGCTGGTGGCCAGGCCCCCGCTGCTGCCAGGCAGGCTCTTTCCATCGGGGGCTGGAGGGTGTGGGCGCTCCGGGGGCACTCCAGGCAGGTGGCTGCAGTGGTTGGTCCTCATGGCGCTGGGCAGCGGGTCCCCATCTAGGCAGGAACGGGGACAGGGAGGTGCTGTGGGGCACATCCCTCCCTGTCTGACCAACAGCAGGCGTGAGAAGGAGCATCCCTGGCTGCCCATCCCATGTTTCTGAAGCCCACTCAGGAGGGAAAGGGGGTTTGCAGTATTGGGGGTTTGCAGTATTGGGTGAGACAGGCAAAAACAGTCTGCACGTCCCACAAGCAGCAAGGCTGCAACCCTTATAAAAATTGGTTAATTTCTCTCTGCTGAAGTAATGAGTGATAAACAGAGAGGCTGAACCTTTTGTCACTCCCCTTATAAATGTTTCAAAGCTATATACACTCTTCACCCTGTTCACTTTCAAATTTAAAGGCTGCCACTGTCCGCCAAGGGGAAAAAGTTATGTACTGGAGGAGAAAATGGTTGATTTGCTTCAGATCCCCTTTGAAAACACTTCAAGGCTGCTTAGTGTCTTCTATCACCAACCCACGGCAGAGCACAGACCTGGCAATTAATCCTGTACAGGGCTTTAGTCACACAGACCTGCTTAAACACAGCCTGCACAGCAGTAATTTATGCCACAAGGTGAGGCAGAAATCACAGCCTGCCCGTGCCTCTCTGCTCTGCTCTGCTCTCTCTCACATCACTGTGAGTGTGTTTGGCACAGTGCTTCCACACATGGCAATTGGGAAGGAAGGGCTGTGCTGGAACAAGTGTGATAATTCACTTGTGGGGAATTTTGTAAGGAATTTGAGATGGGCCTTCTGAGTTGTTTTTGATGATGCGGTTTATTTTTCTTATCTTTTGCATAGGTAGGAAGGGGGAGTTTGGCTCACAAGGTCAGAAGACCCCTATTTACAAGACCTTTTAAGGAGTTACTGACCAATAAAACATTGCCAACAAGGATGTCTATGTTTTTGACCCAATCCTGAAATATTTCATCTTATGGTGTTATAGTATAAGCTTTATTAGCCAATCATGTTATGACACACAAACCTACAGTGGTGCATTCTAAACTCCTTGTTTACCACTCTAACTACTTTAACTTTTATATCTTAAACTCTAAATCTCTAAACTTTCCTTTACTTAGTTTAACATGTCTTTGCTTTAAGCTATAAATACACGTTCTCACTGCTAGCACCTAAGTTTGGAAGTCTTTTCCAAGGTCTCAGTTCAAAACCTGTGTTTAATTCTAAGCTTTGCCTTAGAGGCCAAAAGTTCTGAGAGTTCTCTGCATTTCAGATTCCAACCAGAAGGAGCCTGGGCGTGTAAATTCCTCATGCCTTGGTGGGATGGATGCTCCTGGCTGGGTGTGCTGGTCCTGGTGGGCTCCACCAGGCTTTGTCCCTGCTCTCTTCCCCTTTGGATCAGGCACCAAAAACCACACATAGGGTGGGTTAATCCCTCTGCAAAAGAGGGGAAAGATTTCCCTATAAGACCTTGGGACAGTTGGCTGCACTCTTGTGTAAACACTGCAGGGTGCAATGATGATATCCCCGTGCTACAATCAAGAGTTTTCCCCTAAAAAAAAGTGTTCTGCCCATACACCACAGCTGTATGGGATCAGCACTGCAGCTGGGAAGAATCTTTAAAAGCCAAACATGAACAAAACTCTCTAAACAGGGTTTTTTCTCCAAGGGATTAGGTGAAACCCTGTGATTTGACTCTGTTGGGTTTGAGGAAGAGCAGCACCAACCTTTGGAAGCCCCCTTGTTGGTGTGTTTGTGGGGGTCCCAGGAAGAGGGAAGAGATGAAGCTGACTCCATATTTCTTAGAAGGCTGATTTATATTATATTATATTATATTATATTATATTAAAAATGCTATGCTAAAACTATACTAAACTTTAGAGAGAAAGGATACAGACAGAAAGCTAGAAAAGAATGAATAATAAAAACCCGTGACTGGCCAGAGAGTCCGACACAGCTGGGCTGGGATTGGCCATTAAGTAAGAACAATTCTCCAAATCACATTCCAAAGCAGCAAAACAGGGAGAAGCTGAAGCTTCCCAGCTTTCCATGAGGAAATCCTGGGCAAGGGAATTGGTGAATTGGCCTTGGCAGTAAGGTTTTGTGTCATGTGGGGACTGGTGTGGGTGCTGGACCACTCACACCACACAAGCTTTCACACAGGGACTCATATTCTTAGAAAGGCATCTAAAAATAGGGAAACTGGTTTGTTTTGCAGGATTGCTTGAGCTGTTTTCAGAGCACACACACCCCAGGGAGAGAGCAGGAGGCTGATGATGCAGCTTGCAGGGCAGGGAGTGTTCGGGGAATGGGGAAGGGAATCGGACTCTGGGCCTCATTTACAATGAAAATGAAGCAAATGGCTGATGTCAAAACCATTAACATATAAAAGATGCAGACATTTCAAGAGAATAAGAGCCACAGGCTCTCCAAGGAGACCGTGGTGTTCAGTTTTAGTCCTAAAATCCATGCTGAGACTGTTTAACAAGAACGTTCAGCTGCTGAGTAGCTGCTTCATTAAACTTAAAAAGCCCAAGAAGTATCATGCTTACAGACCCACGCTGCAGAATTATGTATTTTTATCCTGATTGCTTCACTGACCCCATTAAGTACAACAGTGGGTTTATAATTTCATATATAATGACCATCCAGGCCTTTACAAACACATCCCTCAGTCACTTGATGAGTTTGGAGGGCTCGATGGAGCATCAGAGGATGCAACTAAATGCAAAGCTTTAAAGCACACAGGAAATTAACTGGCTGTATCTCAAGAATGTTAATTCAAATTTCTACCTACAGCATTGATTTCCCACTTTGGCAAAGCAGATACAGTTAATCCCTTTCTGTTTTGTTTTTTTTTTTAAAGAAGGAAGGTACAGGTAATCCCTTTCTACTTTTTTTTTTAAAGGAAGCTGAAAGTTACAACACACTTTTCTGATTTCAGAAGAACCATTTTCACACAAAATCAGTGCATGTGCCTGAAAAGTGATGCAATTATAGAATTACATGATGTCTGCTTTAATACTGAACCCCATGGCAAATAATGTAAATTAGTTGTCCTGAGAAGCACAGAGATCCTAAGCAAATCCTAAGGTAAATCTGGCATTAGGGAATTGTAATTTTAACAGCCACAAACCCCCAAATTCAGTATTTACCCATATGTATGTATTATATTAAAAAAAATTTCACCTGAAACCACTGGAAATCTGTCAAAAAAGCCTCAATAAAAGAGAAAATAAAGAACACAAAGCAGGAAGATGTGTTTAGCTGGTATTTATGAGGACATGCAATATTAACTGGGGAAGACAGAGTAGCAATATTTATTCCAGACACCAGAAAAATCTCAGAAAAGTGTCTGAATTTGGCACGATGAATGGATGGTAGTATTTAGCTCTTTGTTTTTTCTTTTCTGTGTGGTCACGAGTCATAGTTTTTCATTTGTATATATATATACAAATATACATGTATGTATGTATATGGGTTTATGGGTATCAGAGCAAAAGTAAATGTGTTGCAAGTATTTTCTTTATGCAGGAAGTGTAAAAAAAAAGTGACAAACCAACCAATAAACTCAAGCAAATTATCTGAGGGCTTGTTGAAGCTAGGCAGAAGATTCAAATGCAGAAGACATCCTTTCCCCCATAATAATTTATAGGATGCTATATTGCTATTTTAGAGATTTATAACTTCTATAGAAAAAAAGGCATAGAAGTTATAGTGCCAGTGAGCAAGGCACTGCCACTCCAACTGAGCTGCACTCAAATAAGAAGTTAGAAACCAGCATTAGTGCCCTGAGACGGAATTTAAAGCCAAAGAGCTAAATTATCATAGCAGAGCTTTTTTAAACAAAGCTGTTTTTCTGTGAAGCTGTGATTGGCTGGGATTTGCACAAGGAAAATTATCTTTACACTTCAAGCAGTGGGTTGCAAATATTGAACAGATACTTGTGGAGTTGCTCTCTTTTCCTTTTTTTTTTTTTTTTTTTTTTTAATTTTTTCAGCACCTCTGCAAAGAACAGCACTTATTCCACCTCTCAGTCATGGTTTCAAATTTGGAAACCTTTTCACCTTTCTTGTTCCACGTTCCCACGAGTTCACCCTATTAGTTTCAGGAAATGTGACATGAGCTTGCATCAGTCAGCTTCAACACTTAAAAATATGCATGAAAAACCACCAGCATCCCATCTGGAGACATTTTCCCAAGAAATACTGCGTTATTTTAAAAAGGCAGCCAAAATATACTAATACTAATATTAATAACAATTATAACAACAACAACAGACCAAACCAAAGCCAAAAAAAGCCTCACCAGCAGAAAAATCCCAAATACATACCAACCCAGAAAAATAATTTAAAAAAAATCCTAAACAAATAAACAGAAACCACCACCAACAACAACTTAAACAACTAAAAAAACACCCTCCAGTTTTCAGAAGCTCTCAGAGATACGTTTTTGTTTATTTAATATTTATTTATTATTTAATAACAGCAATATTATTATAATATTATAATATATTATAATGTTATAATTATATATAATCATATTAAAATTATATATACACATATATAATTATAGTGTAATATAATATTATAACATTATATGATATATATAATGTCATTATAGTATATATAATAATATAATGTGTATTATAATATTATATATAATATAATTATAGTATATACTGTACTGTAATATATTATTACCTTTTAAAAATTTAGATATATAAATATATATTAATTAAATATATTTAAAATATATTTATTTAAATATATTTTAAATATAGTATATTATTTATTTAATAAAGTATTTAATTTATTATATATTTATTTAAAGTACATTTATTTATTACAATAAATTACTGTATATTATATTATTTTATTATTATATATTTATTATATTTATTATATATTATTATAAATTTATTGTTATATATTTATTATAATAAATAAATTATATATATTTATTATAATAAATAAATTTAAAATATAAATTTTGTTATAATTTATATTTCATTTTTAAATATAGATTTGTTTAATTTTTCATTATTATTTTATTATTTATTATTATTTATTATTTCTTTATTTATTATTGTTTATTATTTATTTATTTATACTATTTATGTAATGTCACATAATTTTGCACAGTTCACTCCAGAATTTTGGGCCCCAGTGATGTGTAGCCAGTTTTTTACCTGGAACAGGCCAGCAGATCTGGAACAGAGACAGAATTCTGCACCTTGCTGCCAGCTGGAAGAATGGTTCAAATCATGGTGGAGCATCTCCCACCTCCTTTTCTGCTCTCAGTCCTGGCTGGCTGCTCAGAATGCAAATTGTTGCATTCAAAGTAATACACAAATGTTTTCAAAAGCAGTGCAGTTGTCAGAGGCTGGGTGAAAAAGATAAATTCTCAACTCCAGAGCACTCTGAAACCTAGGCTTTCACCTGCTAAGAAGCGAGGCAGGGTGCTGTGAAGGTGGAATGGACAGATCACTTCTTAAAAACCAAGAACCCCTGGGGCACCTCAAAATCCTGTTTTACTGTAAAAACAACGAGTTTCATGCACGTCCATTCTTGGGCACTCACATCTGGAATAGTCTGAAATGTTTCTTGACTCTCCCCTCCACAAGGAGCTTCATATTTACACAAATATTGAGCAAAAAAATTGGTGGAGTCACTGGCAGCTCCACCTGAAGTTGTGGATGCTGCAGCACCCCCAGAGTAAAAAAATTCATTTCTCTAAACTGAGAAGACCAGTTCCTACATTTGGTAACGACACGTGGCTCAGCACAAGGAGAGGAAAAAAAAAAATAAAATAAAAAAAAGCTGCCTGACCTGTTCATTTTGGAGCTCTAAAGCCATCAGGGAGAGAGGACACGGCAGTTCTGGGGCACGGCGACAGGAGAGGAAGGCTGGAGAAAATTTTATTTTGGTCAGCAGCATCCACTTTGCTGCACTACACACCACCACCTTTTAAGGAGCCCACTGAAAGGTGCAAGAGGAAGATGTGGCAATTGTTCCCCAGCTGGGGAGGACAGATTTCAAGTTAAGGTGTTTCGACACACAGAAAGCAGCACAGCACAAACCCGGACGACATTGGGCAATTTTACTCTGTTTCAGCCCAAGTTTTGCTAATTTTTCAAGCATTTCCCATTCATCTGGTCTGACTGCAGAGAGCTGCAGGGGCTTTTAAAAGCTGCCACACAGCAGGCTGCATTGGAAAGTGCAATTTTATAAACAAGCACGTCAGAAAACCGAGGGCTCATTTGAGGCAGCAGCACAAAGCACTTCAGCATAAGTAGTCCTTAAGAGTCTGACCACGCATTTAAAACCTCAGTGCCCACCCATAAATCATTGTTATTTTGTTGGGTACTGAACCTTGAGCCACTTTCCATGGGAGCAATAGACTCCCTTCTTGGCACCGTGAACTTTAATAAATTGCTTTATATGCCTGCACAGCCACTAACTTGGGTCATTTGCTTAGATTTGTATCCTTCTGTTGGTTGTTGAAATGAAAGTTTTCAGATCATAATAAATACCAGAAGCACTTGTGGTGGTGGCATTTTAGCCTTGCATGAATAAGAAAAAAACTCAGAAGACAAATTCAGTTTATAACTGATCTGGAAATAGAATTTTTTTCCCCCCCCAGGTACAAGGAAACATGTATATTTTCTTTCCTTGTGTTAGTTTTCTTCTAGTAGAAATGTCTTTCCTCATAGGTTACAAAGGCACCTACTCCAACATGTTCCTAAATTCTCTTTTTTTTCATTGCCACATCTGCTTCAGACCCCCACTTCCCTATTTCCCACCCACAAAATTCCTGATTATACACCAGAACATGGCTTAAACCACAATTGTTTTCACACCTAGGCACCAAAATACAGTGGAAAAATAAATATCTGCCTATATACTCAAAGACTGCATATTAAAAAGCCCAGAAGTTTGGGGTTTTTTTGCACTAGAAAGCTCTGGATTCTCTTCCCCCTTCCAAATTAGGTCACCTTATACAAATGAGTCAAGCATTTCTTGGCCTGAAACGTGAAAGATGGGAATTTAATTTGCTCTCAGCAGCTGTCAAAGGACAAAGAACTCCATGTCAGTCCTTGAAGCCAGGGTTCATCCCCAAAAACCACTTTGTCCTGGAGAGTGACACCATTTTTTTGCACACTGTGTTTTACTGACGAGTCACTTCCTCCATCGTGGGAACTGCAAAACTTTCAGCCCCATTCTCTGAAGTACCCCGGATTTCATCAGAAAACCTGTCTTTTGCAACTTCCAACTTTTTTTTTTTTTCCCCCCCCCGTTTTTAATGCATCAGCCAGTGCCTCTGGACCCTGACCCCTGCTCCATTTAGGTGCTTCATTCCTGCTGCTTGTCTTGCCAGGAAAAGCAAAATCTGAGGGTTCAGGATGCTCACCCCACCCCCTGAGACCCACAGCCCACCTGCACACAGCAGAGTGCACCAAAAAATTGAACAGAAATTGCACAATTACACCTTGATTTCTTCAACTATTCTTACAAGAAATGGGGAGAATGAAGACAGTGTGAAGACCAGTGTTTCTGGCAAATATAAAGTCTTGAAGTCTTTCTTAAATACAAGGTCTTAGGAGGGAAAATCCAGCCAGATCTGATCCAGATGTGCTGCATTTGATGGAACTGCTACTATTGTCCTTCCCCACATTTAGACTGGACCCAGAGCTACAGTCCCACTGTTGTGGGATGGAGCTCAGGGGAAAACACTCAAAGTTAAACATTTATGTACTCCCAAGGCCACGTTTTCACATTTAAAAGTAGCTCTCCCCATTTCCAGTGCAAGGCTGAAAGGAGAGCTGCCAACATCACACAGATCATTGCAATTATTGCATTGCCCCATGTAAAAAATCCCTAATTTGGCTTTTTTTTTCGTTCACACAGCTAAACTAAAGCTGAATACAACTGATTCCTCCTGGCCTGGTAGGGGCAAGGTGAAAATTACTTATTTAAACTGCAAATGGAGTAAATGGTTAATACCCGAGGCTTGACTTCATGCCTGGGGTTTGGTAATGAAATCCTGTTCATTCATCCTGTTCATGTGTAAATTAACTCTTTAGCAAATAACTCCTAAATTACAGTTTTACCTTGCTCACAGTGGCCAAATCCACTCAGATTTTGAAGCTGTGTCCAATAAATTTGTTTGCACAAGAGCTTGGACACAGAGAGTGCTGGCAGGTGACGGAGGCAAGAGCTTGAAAACTGCAGGGGAAAAAGAGCCAGCAAAAAGCAAAATGTTTTTAACTACTTATGGGGGATACTTGGAGAAAGGTGGCCATGGTATTTCTACAGACAGCTTAACAAAAAATGCTAATTCTTCTGTTCATCATTGCTAAGTTACTTATTTGGCTGGTTTTAGTACATTTGATTCTTCCAGCTCCTGCAGTCAATACTGCACATGAATATGATCCTGTTACAATTATTGCACTTATAGTTCTCACTATTGATGGCAAAACAGCTCAATGTATGAAACTTAGAAAAGATACTAAGCCCGCTTTCAAATTAAAGTAAGTTGAAAATTGAAAACATTTCTCTTTCTAATAGCTTTATATTTTAATTCCAGAGTTCAGCAATATTGGCTGCATCAGTCTTGCATTTGAGAAAAGCTTCATTAGGTGCTCAGTGAGCACAACTTGTCTTTAAGACTCCAGTTTTGAAACAAAGATTATTATCCTAGCCTGCATACCTCTGTTTTGATGCATTGTAATTTAACCAGAAATCACTCAGGTACCATCATATTAAATTTTTTTTTTTCCTTAGTCTTCATCTGCATAAAAATTTAATATTTAGTTCCTCCACAGAGGACTTCTCTCCTTTCCACATGGTGCATCCCAAACATCTCACTGTCTGCAAGGTACCTGCATTACTAAAATATTGTCTGGTGCTCTGCACCAGGTACAATCAGAAGATCTTTTTCTTCTTCCCCAGGCACTGTGTCTGTCACTTCTACAACAAGACTGAAAACCCCACGGGGTGGATTAAATTCTCATGTTTTATTCAGCAATGAATCACCTGGGTGACAATCTGCACATACAAGGAGCTTGGCTTGTGTGTGATGCTTTGCAAAGCATGTCCCAAACTAATATATTTACAGGTGGAATCTGTGCTTTCACTTGTTCCCTGACTGTGGGATCACCCCAGGTGTTTCTGGAGGTGCCATCTAACAAGCCACTTTCCTTCCCTGAAGATAATTTACTCTGCATGATTTTATCTTGCTGTGTTTCAGCTGAGTGTTTGATGTTCAGCAAGGGGGAATCAGTCTTCCAAACATCTCGTCTGAAAAAAGAGGAAAACACTTAAAAAGGCAAAATGCCTCCAAATGCAGGTCTATTCCTCTCCCTTCTCCCTTTCTGCCCTTCAGTCAAAAGCAGCTAAAAATATTCTTGCTGCATTTCTCTTCACATGGGAAGATAAACCCTCCCTGTTCCCATATCAGTCTGCCTCTCTCAGCAGGAGCAAAGTGTGGACTCCATGGGTTTCTGCAATATTTACATAAAAATTTCCCTCTGAACTTCAGTTTGGGGGAGGGGGAGGGATTTTCATCAAGCTCCAAGACTTGCACTCTAGTCCAGCATGAGACAAACACATGGGAATATTGTGATTTAATTAAAATCACTGATAATTCCCTACAGTAACTAGTTTTACATGGGTTTGTGGTGTGTTATATAAAACTATATGCTGTGGGGACTGAACAGCTCCACTTCTTTTCCGGTAACAAGCACACCAAGAATGCTTTTAGTCATTGTCACATGAAGTTGGCAATAGTCAAACAAACCAGATCTGACATGCAGACCTGGAAAGGAAAAGTTAGTGCTGCAAAATAAAGCACTTAAAATCAAATTTCTCTTCAGTAAATCTTCGGGCAAATTACTGAAATGCTGCACTAGTGAATCAAAACTACAAGACAGAACTAAATCAAAATGGCAGAGGTAAAATTTGACTGGACAACATTATTGTCCTTAGCAAATCCAAGAGAAATACCAACAAGAGAAATAACAAGAGTTAGAAATTAACTAGGTATTAGCCTTATTTCTATGAGAAATAAAGTCAGTGGAAGCCTGGAGTGGGTTTGAGCTGAACTCAGCTGAGATTTTACTCTGTGTGTTATTGGGCCTTTTGCACTGAAATCAACCCTGACATGCAGCTTTTCTTGCACACCCAAGACAAGCTTGGTATAGGACTATTACAACTTTGCAGAACAGCAGTGAGCCAGAGTAATGCTAAAAATAGATACTATTGTGTAATTGGACCTGCTAGACATTTCATAGATTTTTATAGTGCCATTTAGCCAGCTCTGCTGTTTGTTTTCCCTGCCAGAGAATTACTGATCCTTTTTAAGAAGCTGAGTGTGTGTAATCCAGAAACATGAAACCACATCTATGCACCACTGTATTAATGCTGCTGGAGCTTTGTGTATCAGAATCTTGGGATGGTTTGGGCTGGAAGGGACCTTAAATCCCATCCAGTGTCCAACTTTCCATGGCAGGGACACCTTTCCCTGTGCCAGGCTGCTCCAGCCCCAGTGTCCAGCCTGGCCTTGGGCACTGCCAGGGATCCAGGGGCAGCCCCAGCTGCTCTGGGCACCCTGTGCCAGGGCCTGCCCACCCTGCCAGGGAAGAAATTCTCCCTAATATCTGATTTAGACCTACCCTCTGTTAGTCTGAAGCCATTAACCCTTGTCCTGTCACTCCAGACCCTATAAACAGTCTCTCTCCATCGTTCCTGTAGCCTCCCTTCTGCATCAAAATAGTCACAATTAGTTCCCCCTGAAGCCTTTCCTTCCCCAGGCTGATACCTGGAGTCGCCCCAAGCACCAAGTTCCACGAGGTCTGAGAACATTTTGATTGTGATTTTCCTTCAACCACACTTTTAAAGAATCTTA